TTGTGTGTGAGAGAGATTCCCCCATAACTTAATTGTGCAAACTTAGTAGGTGACCCCACCATATGGTGATATCAAAAGTTTGCATGCTCTGATTGCTCCTTTCATGTTTTCATGTCTTATATACTATGTCCTGTTTAAAATATAGAATCCAGGCCAGACATGGTAGCATACGCATTTAATCTCAGCACTTGAGAGGCAGAGGCAGGGGGAACTCTGTGAGTTTGGTCTACAAAGCAAGTTCCAAGCCAGCTGAGGCTACAGGAAGACCCTGTCTCCAAAAGACCAAATAAATAAGTAAAATAAAATGTTAAAGGGCTGGAGAGATGGCTCAGCAGTTAAGAGCACTGACTGCTCTTGCAGAGGACCTGGGTTCAATTCCCAGCACCCACATGGTGGCTATGAACTATCCTTAACTCCAGTTCCAGGGGAACCCAAAGCTCTCTTCTGACTTCTGCGGCATTGCATGACACAGGTGCACTCACATACATTCAGGCAATACACTCATACACATAAAATTAAAATTTTTTAAAATATATTGAATCCACAAATGATAGAAAACATAAAATACTTGTCTTTCTGAGTCTGACTTATTTGTTTTCTATCTTAATCTCCAGTTCTATCCATTTTCTTACAAAAGATGTAATTTCATTCTTCACAACTGAATAACATTGCATTGTATATATAAAATTCCATATAAATATATATGCCACACTTTCCTCATCTATTCTTCTACTGATGGATACTAAGGTTGGCTTCATACTTTAGCCACTGTGAATAGTTCTATAATAAATACAATGTACAAGTATCTGTGATATATTGGCTTAGAGTCTTTTGGATAAATACCCAGGGTTGATGTAGTTGTATCATATAGTAGATCTATTTTTACTTTTTTGAGGAACCTTCATGCTATTTCCATAGTGAATACATCCCAATCAGCAGTATACAAGGGTTCCCTTCTCTCTGCATCCTCACCAGCATTTGTTGTTACTGGTTGTAAGATTGCCATTCCGAGTAGTGTAAGATGGAATCTTAATGTACTTTGAATTTACATTTCATGGATTGCTAGTGATTTTGAACATTATTCTTATATTTAACTAAATTTTTTTCTATTTATTTATTTTTTTATTCATGCATGTGAATGTTTTGGCTACATGCATATAGGTACAATGCCCCCGGAGGCCAGAAGAGGGCATCAGACTCCCTGGAACTGGAGTTACACATGGTTGTTAGCTGCCAGGTCGGTGCTGGGAACCTAACCCAGGTCCTCTACAAGAACAGCCTCTTAACTGCTGAGTCATCTCTCCAGCCCCACATTTTTTCATGTTTATTAGCCATTTGTAGTTCATCTTTTGAGAACTGTCTGTTCATTTCAGTAGCCTATTTTTTTATTATGTTGATTGATTCCTGGTATTTAGTTTTTTGAGTTCCCTTTATATTTTAGATATTAACCCTCTGTCAGATGCATAGTTAGTCAAGGTCTTCTCCCATTCTATAGGCCATTTCTTCACTCAGCTGTGTCTTTTGCTATGGAGAAACTTTTTAATTTTGTGTGGTATCATTTGTCAGTTCTTGATATCATTTCTCAAATGATTGTAGTCCTTTCCAGAATGTCCTTGCCTATTCCTGTATCTTGAACTATTTTCTCTCTTTTTTTTTGCCTCCAATACTTTCATAGTTTCAAGTCTTACATTAAGATCTTTGATCCATTTGGAATTGATTTTTAAACAGAATGCGAGATAGGAGATAACTTCATTCTACATATGGATGTCCAATTTTCCAACACTATGTCTTGAAGAGGCTGTCTTTTCTCTGGTGTTTGTTTTTGTTATCTTTGTCAAAACTCGAGTGTGTAGCTGTGTGAGTTTATATTGGGTCCCTTATTCTATTCTATTGATCTCGATATCTGTTTTGTGGCAGTACCACACAGTTTTGTTTTGTTTCTCGTCACTATGACTCTGTAGTATAACTTAAAATCAGGTATGGTGCTACCTCCAGCATTTGTTCTTTTTGCTCAGGACTGCTTTATCTCCCAAACTTTTTTTTCTTACTTATTATTTTTATTTTCTGTGTTTTGTGTAAGTACACTTGTGTTCTGCAATGCCCATGGAGGTCAGGTCCATCAGATTCCCCTGGAACTGGAATAATGGATGGTTGTTAGTCACCATGTGGGTACTGGGAATTGAACCCATGTCCTCCACAAGAGCTGAGTCAGCTCTCCATCTGTATCTCCTGAACTTTTTAACAGTTGTTTTTTAAAACACCTGTACCACATGTTTTTCAGTGATATACTATTAACCAGTGTCTAGCTGAAGGTTTTTCTTCTTTGTTTTAATCTTTATCACTTCAAACCACTGGAAGACTGTACTTTAGAAGTACTGATTGTGTAACTCTCTTATATAACTAATTTCCTCTGAAATATTTTATCATTTGCTGAATTCTTTCCAGCTTCCTCAACTCATAAATGCCAATTTTCCAGTGGACCCACAAAGGATGTCTATTTTTGGTCACTCCATGGGAGGCCACGGAGCTCTGATTTGTGCTTTGAAAAATCCTGGAAAATACAAAGTAAGATAACACTAAGCTTCTATTGATCAAGTAACTTCTCTCCAAAAATTTCAAAGATTGAAATTTTGAGATGGTTTTAGAATCAGGACTTAAACTTTTCTAGGGTTGGGGGTCTTAGAAGTTTGCCAGAGGTATTAATGTGGTTATGTGATATATGGCATATAAAGTTGGAAACAAAGGACTCTAATGAGTAGTGTTATGAAGTATAGCTCACTTTTTCATTGTTCTTTTCAGACTGTACTTTTAACACATTTCCCCAGGATTGTTAGTGTTGATTAGCATTATTACAAAGTATCTATTACTTATCTAAATTTCTACCAGAAACATCTTTGTAAAGTTGAATCTTCTTTTTTAAGGTAGATTTTAAGAAGATACTTTAAGAATTTTATGTTCTTAGTGCTCCAAATGAGAATTGAAATGCAGCTTGACTGAAAAACACCTCTCAGCCTTTCCCCTTCTTTATTAAAAGCTTTGTAGGTGTTCTTTTCTTTTAATGAGTCAAGTTTGAATACCCACAGCTGAACTACTGAAGACAGCTGGAAAGAAATGTGCTTCAAAGCAAGATCAGTTTAGAAGTGCTGCTGTCTTTAATATCACAGGGCTGTTTTTCATCTTATTCTTTGCTTTGGAGACTTTAATCATTTCAGATGTGTTGTTGAGAAGTGATGTTTCTCATAGCAACTACATAGCACCACCCTAGAAAATCATGGTTCTGGTTTCCATTTTTTGTATAATGAAGCAGTGAATTTATTGTCTGAGATGGAAAAGTGAACTTAAATTTTTTATCCTTTAAAAACATGAGTAGACATTGTGGAATCTGCACATTGATAAGAATTCTAAAGCTGAGAGAGTCCAACATTGCATCACTGAAGAGCAGCACTGTACGGAACACAAACTTGTGCAGAATCCTGTCTTCTTGAGGCATTGCCTGTCATGCTGCTTCAGAGATGTGTCTGATTTAATGGCAGTTTCACTGAGGAAGGCATGAACTGTTTCAGATTAATTTTCAGTAGAAACTCTGAACATAAACTTGTTTTACCTAAATTAAATTCTCATGCATTAGTTTTCATTAAATCCTTCCATTGATTAGCTTTTTAAAGATTATACAACAGGTGTAGTATGAAGAGGCAAGGTTTTCATTGAAAGTCAGAGTCGTAAGTTGTAAGCATCCACATTTGATTTAATAAAATATAACATTTAAAAAATTTCCTTTGCCTTCATAGTCGGTGTCTGCATTTGCTCCAATTTGCAATCCAGTGCTCTCTGTTTGGGGCAAAAAAGCCTTTAATGGATATTTGGGAGCAGATCAAAGTAAATGGCAGGTAGGTAATGGCCAACTGTGTTGGTGCTCACTCTTCAGCTTTCCTGTATCACAGTGTGTGTGTTGACTGTTAGAGTCTGCTCTCCATGCCTGTGTATCACAGTGTGTGTGTTGACTGTTAGAGGCAGCTCTCCATGCCTGTGGGTTCTCCATCTGTAGACAGAACCAAAAGAATTTTTCATTCTAATTGTGGCTGTAGTAAATATGTGCAGACCTTTTTCTTTTCTTGTCATCGTTCCCTGCTACATCACTGTGACACTATATTAGGCATTATGGTAATCTAGAGGTCATTTAAGTATTTGAGGAGGGTTGTGTAGTTTATATGCAAATATTATACTTTTTTTTATATGCGACTTCAGCATTGCAGATTCTTATATCCTTGGGAGGATCCTGGAACCAGTTCCCCACATACCAAGAGATTACAATAAACCTGGTTTTTAATTGTTTTGAACATGAAAATTATTCCAAATCTACTTTTTTTCTGCTAATGATTATTTTGTATTTCTAAATTAACATTACTTCTAAATTAATTTTAAAGATCACTTATCATCACAAAATTTAAAATTGGATGCCAGTTTAATCAGCCTAAAAGCAAAAATAATTTTAAATTTCTTTTTGGTTCTAGTACAGGATGTTTGGGGGATTGTCTTTCTGGGCACTTTCAAGTTTTCAGTGTTTCTTCTTACAGGCTTATGATGCAACCTGTCTTGTGAAGTCCTATTCAGGTTCTCAGATAGACATATTAATTGATCAAGGCAAGGATGATGAGTTTCTTATAAATGGACAGTTACTCCCTGATAACTTCATTGCTGCCTGCACAGAAAAGAAAATCCCTGTTGTTTTTCGACTACAGGAGGTAAGTATTAGGAAAACAGCTCCATCTAAATAGAAAATTATTAAAAAGCAGGATTGTATACAGTTTTCTTAACTCTCTTGTAGAATATAGATAGTTACCTGTGGCATGATAGATTTCAATTATATTGAGATACCTGAAGTAAAAACTTTCCTTTGAAATTTGTGATACCTAAGGCCAAATTTGCTTTTGGCAGTGAAAAATGCATAGTTTCTCCCACTGTGGAAGTTGAAGCTTAAAGTTTGAATGGTACTTAGTCTCCAACGTCACTAAGTGTATCTTTGTTTACATATATACCACCATTACAGTAGAAAAAGACTGAGCTCTCCTGTTGTTCCTTGTGTACACCTTGTGGCCTCAAACTGACCATTGCTGTCTCACGTATACACACTATATAACTTGATTTAAAAAAAATTTTTATTTATTTATTTTTAAATATTTTATTATTTTTATGTGTATGTGTGTATTGCCTGCA